AAAACCACTCTGCTCATTTATTTTTATCAAGTGAACACCGCTCAGCCCCCTTGACTTTATCAGAGTGAACACCGCCAGCCCCTTGACTTTAGAGGAAACCGCCACTCCCTTGACTTTATAAGGAACACCGCTCAGCTCACTTGAGCTTTCTCAAGTGAACACCGCCACCACTTATTTTCTCAATTGAACCCCGCCACTCACTTACTTTCCAGAGTGAACCCGCTCCTCACTTAGTTTTTCTCGAGTGAACCCGCTCACTCCTTGAGCTTTCTCAAGGAACACCCGGCTCAGCTCACTTGAGTTTTCTCATAACCACCGCCACTCACTTGAGCTTTCTCAGAGTGAACACCGCTCACCCAACTAAGCTTTCTCAAGTAAAAACCCGCTCACTCACTTGACTTTCTCAGATGAACACCGCTCACTCACTATTTTCTCAAGTAAAAACACCGCTCGCTCATTTGACTTTCCGATGAACACCGCTCACCCTTGACTTTCTCGGGGAAACACCGCTCGGGTCACTTGAGTTTTCCAGAGTGAACCCCGCCACCATTTGACTTTCTCAGAGTGAACACCGCTCAGCTCATTGAGCTTTATCATGAACACCGTTTTAACTTCCTTAGCTTTTTAAAGATAAAGACCACCCCAATCATTTAGCTAGAACAAAAATACCATGGACTTTGTCCAACCTTAATAGGGGACTCTGCGAATTACTGAACGTTCACAATATTCACGTTCCCTTATATAATTTCCATTTATATAGGAACGTCTGTAAGTTCCCGTAGGGGTTCCATAATGTTCGTTGTGGCCGTATGTACTTCAATTTATAGGGGTTTGCATATTACGGGGGACTTCGTCAGTAAATTGCATTGGCCCAAACTTTTTATAGGGGAAACTTCTGAATGTTACTGGACTGTGTGCATAATGTTGCTTTGTGTCTCATATATCCGCAATCCTTCCTACATTTATGCTTCATAGTTTTTCTTGTATCGACGTTCCTAAACACTAAATTGGGGAATGTCCACATTGGATGTTGACGCAACATTGTTAGAGCGAATTTAAGGTGTTTTTCTGGGGGCCCAACCTTATCCTTTCCCCCACCCAACTCTCTCTCCCCCCTCCCCTACGGGAGGGGCCTGCCGCTATCACCTTCCCCTTTTCCTGGCATTTTGGGGACGATTTCTGGGGTACCTACTGCCACTGGGGTTTCAGCCAAAATAACCTTTGGTGCATGGTTTTGGGGTTTCCCTGTAACAAAAGGGTTTTCTATGAGAACCTTTGGCATAACCCTGGCCGGCCGAAGATCGCAGACCTCACGTGGAAGCCGGTTTTTTGGGGGCTGCATTTAAACTCTTTAAAATGGGGAATTAGGAACAGTACCATCTGTAAAAATGTAGAAAAATAAACAAAAATAATAAACATCCCCCTTAACCTTGGAGTTTTAACACCTTCAGACTACGGTGCTGTTTACTACCAAAACTGAGGGGCTGATTCCTCTTTTTTAAACTTTTTGCACTCTTCCCCTTTCTGATAAAGCCCGGTTGGGAAACGTCATTAATTGCTAAATGTTTGCCATGCTTAAATTCATCGGAAAAATGTAAACCAAATTTATATACATTTTTTAAAAACATAACCGTATCCGAAATTTCTTTTTTTTTTTTTTGCCTGATAAAATCCACTTCAAACTAACAGCGATCTTCTTTTTTGAAAAAAAAAAAACAAAGAAAAAAACCTCAGAAACCTTGGATCGTTTTTATTTAAACCGGAAAAACGATGGGTTTTAAAAAAAACTATAGCTTCACTTGGGTGTCAGCACCACGAGTTCTTGCTCTCCAGACTACGACAACCTTTTAGCCGGGGGAAGTAAGACTCTGATTAAGGGAAATTTACGGGGCAGTTACCCCTTTTGGGTTTACCTTAATGCCATTTTAAAATTAACCACCCTTCCTGTATAGTCCCTACGGATTTAGCGCTCCCCCATGATTGAATTTCCCCGGGACCTCATTATTCCTAAACGCTCTTTTTAAACCCCTAGGGTTACGTTTTAAAAAAAAAAAATAAATACAAAATTACCTTAGGTGCCTTCAAACGAGGGGTTTTGATCCACAGCTAGAGATGCCCCCCCTATGAAACGAATCCCCTCAAGGGGCTACCTTGAGCTAGTGAGGGGGTCTTGAACTAAAAATTGGATCTGGCAAGATTTCCCTTTAAGGGGGCTCCTTGGCATGGTAAAGGCTCTTTGGGCGAGGGGAATTACCTGTCAGTCTTCTTCCCCAACTGAAAAATAAATTTACCCCCCATTCTCCCCCCCCTATCCCATCCTCCCTTTTTTCCCT